ACTGTATGGGAGAGCATAATTGCCAATGATACATCAGATAAGGGGTTAATTTTCAATATATATAGAGTGCTCATATAACTTAACAAAAGGAAGACAAAGAACCCAATTAAAAAATGGTCAGAGGAACTAAATAGACACCTCTCCAAACAGGACATACAAATGGCTAAGAGACATATGAAGAAATGCTCAACATCACTAATCATCAGAGAGATACAAATTAAAACAATGAGGTATCACCTCACACCTGTCAAAATGGTCGACATCAACAAATCATCAAACAAGTGTTGGCGAGGGTGTGGAGAAAAGGGGACTCTAGTACACTGCTGGTGGGAATGCAGACTGGTGCAGCCACTATGGAAAACAATATGGTGTTACCTCAAAAAATTAAAAATTGAACTTCCATTTGACCCAGTGATCCCACTTCTAGGAATATATCCTCAGAAGCCTGAAATATCAATCAGAAAGAATATATGTACCCCATGTTCATAGCAGCACTATTTACAATAGCTAAGATCTGGAAACAGCCTAAATGTCCATCAGTAGATGAATGGATAAAAAAGCAGTGGTACATATACACAATGGAATACTATGCAGCTGTAAGAAAGAAAGATCTCTTATTCTTTGAGACGACATGGAGGGACCTGGAAAGTATTATCCTAAGCAAAACAAGCCAAACAGAGAAAGACGAGTATCATATGATCTCACTTATTTGTGGAATATAATGAATATAAAAGTCTGAGGAATGGGATAGTCCCAGTGACGTGGAAGTGGGGTACAAACTGACAATCCCCAGAAGAGGGGGTGGTGGGGAGAGATAAACCACAAAACTTATATGCATCTATGCATGGACAACAAAGCTGGGGACAGGGTGGGGAGGGAGAGGGAGGGGGAAATCTGTGGGGGAAAAAGGAGAAACATTTGTAACAAAAATAAATACATTAATTAAATATTTTTTTAAAAACCATCTCAAAAGTATTACAATTTTATTTATTTTTGTTAATCCTCATCTGAGAATATTTTTCCATTGAATTTTTTTTTTTTTAGATAGAGTGGAAGGGGAAGAGAGAGAGAGAAAGGAGAGAAACATCAATGTGAGAGAGACACTTTGATTGGTGGCGTCCTACACACCCCAGCTGTGTGGGGGATCAAACCTGCAATCCAGGTACATGCCCTTGACTAGAATCAAACCCACAATCCTTTGGTCTGAGGGCCGACATTCTAACTGCTGAGCCAAAACAGCCAGGGCCCAAAAGCATTAAAATTTTGCATAGTCAAAAATGTGATTCTTCTAGAATCTTCTCTATTTTGTTGAATGACAGCAGTATCCTCTGACCTTAAGTCTTCTCAACAGCAATTTATTAGGAAGTTCTATCTGCTCTGTCTCAAAATAGATCTCAAATTACACTTTTCCTCACCTCCTTGATAACACCTTCTTCTTAACCACCTTGTTGTAGTTTATCATAATTGCCTCATACCTGTCCTAAACTATAACCCTATAAGCTGCTCTCAAAATAGCAGCAAACATGATCCTTGTTTTTTTTTTTTAAGGAATTTGGTGTATCTATTTATTTATACATAATTCCATAAAGGAGTCAAAGGATCTTTAAAAGGCAAACACAGACCAGAAAAATAAGGGAACTTCCCTTAATATTTTCTTTTCACTGAAGTATAGTTAGTAGACAATAATATATTACTTTCAGGTGTACAAAATTGTGATTTGACATTTTTATACCTTGTGATTCCTTACTAATTCTAGTAATCATGTTACCTTGTAAACTTATCACAATATTATTGACTATATTCTTTCACCTTTTTCACCCATCCACCCACCCCCTTCCTTCTGATAACCATCCCTTTGGTCTCTGTTTCTAATAATCTGGTTTTTTAATTCCACATATAAGTGAAACCATACAGTATTTGCCCATTTTTAAATTGGATTATTTGTGGTTTTGGTGTTGAGTTTTACAAGTTCTTTATAAATTTTGGATATTAACCCCTTATCAGATGTATCATTGGTGAATATGGTCTCCCATACAGTGGGATCCCTCTTCATTTGTTGATGGTTCTCTTTGCTGTGCAAAAACATTTTAGTATTATGTAGTCCCATTTGTTTATTCTTTGTTTCTCTTTCCTGAGGAGAACATCAGAAAAAAATATTCCTGTGAGAGATGTCCAAGATTTTACTGCCTAGGCTTTCTACACATGGAGTGCTTTCTGCAAGTAACCAGAGTTTGATCTCACCTTTCAGTGCGTCACTCCACTGGCAGAGTGAACACCTATGAAATGGCGGTTGCCGTTATTTGCGTATGGAAAAGAAAAACAGGCTAGAGAGTCAGGACACATATATCCTGTGGTTCTGACATCCTTGACCCAGCAGATTTGTCGTTCCCCGAGAGTTTCAGTGGCCACTGAACTTTGGCCAAGGGTCTGTGAGGAACTGGGGAGGCACTGAGAAGCTGCATCAGTTCCCTTTTATCCTCCTGTTGTACAGAGGCTTCGTACTTCCTATGGAAGGCAGTCTGTTCTCCTTCTCATAAGCCTTTTAACCCAGATTAGCCCTTTGAGGTCTGGCTTAGCTCAGTAGGTTAAGTAATTTGTCCAAGCTCATATAAACAGTAAGTGATGGAGTAAGTGGTTTGTTCAACAGCCAGTGGTCTGTCCATTCCCCAGTGATATCTACACCAGCATCAGGTGGCTAGGCTCGCCCATCTGCTGCACAGGCTGCAGTTGTCCATTCTGCCCGATGTTCAGCACTCCCCTGGGAGCACTCCGTAGCTGACTCGTGCACTCTGAGGTCCATGGACACGAGGCTCGGCCAGTGAGCACAGAGCTGCTCTGATCACTCTGCCACGTGTTCCTGCTGCCCTGGAGAGCTTCTGGGTCATGGAAATGTCCACTTTTAGAAGGTCATGCCAAGCCTATTTTAAAAGGGGTGGCACAAATCTGCTTTAAACGTGACCTTTAAAAAAACAAAAAAACAGGAATCAGACCATGTTCCTCAACTCAAACCTTTAACAAATATTCACATCAAGGTTCTTTTTTTATCCTCATCTGATGACATTTTTCCATTTTTGTTCAGAGTACGAGGGAGAGAAAAAGAGAGAAACATCAACGTGAAAGGGACACATTGAGTGGCTTCCACCCACACAACCCCAAACGAGGCCAGGGACAAACTGCAACTGAGGTATGTGCCCTTAGCAAGAACCGAACCTGGGTTTCTCTGGACCACAGGCCGACGCTCTAACCGCTAAACCAAACCAGCCCAGGCACGTCAATATTCTTATAATCACCCAAGTTTACAAAATACCCCCACTTCCTCTCCTCAGCCCCACTCCCTTGTGCGTGCCTCTCAGATAACATGGGCTCTTCGTGGCTCTTTAGAACATGCTGAACACATCCCCTTCTCCAGGTCCCCCATATATTGACGCTCTTCCCCCATGCCTTAGTCAGCTCAGGGTGCTACTACAAATACCACAAATTGGGGGACTCAAACAATTCTGGAGGATGAGGTATAAGATCAAAGAGCTCAGAGGTCCAGTGTCTGGAGAGCCTGCTTCCTGACTCACAGACAGCTACCTTCTTGCTGTGTTCTCACACAGCCAAAAGAGACAGCTCTAGTCTTTCTCTAATAAGGACACAAATTTCATCATGGAAGGAAGCTCCACCGTCATGACCTCATCTAACCCCAAGCTCTCCCTCCAAACACCATCTCACTAGAAAGCGGGGTTTCGATCAGGAAGCAGGCAGGGTAACAATGGCTCAGAATGGGGCAACACCAGAGGTCAGCCGACCCGACAAAACACATTCTATCAGGACTAGGGCATGAGTGTGGCGCAGACTTTCAATGCTCACTTTGAGCACTTCAAATTAGACTCTTTTTATTTTCTTTCCAGGAATGTCAGTGTTGAGATATATGACCAGAGGAATCTCATGCAAATCGCCAGGTTAATGCCAGCAGTTATAAGAAAGTAGCTAGATATGCCCAATCTTTCCTCGGAAAAGGAGACTCTAGAGAATAAAGGGAGAAAGCTGGCCAAATATAAAGATTTACTAAAGTGATAAAGAAAAGGGTGTGGAGTCAGCTTCACGAAGAAAAATACCCTGGCCGGTTTGGATCAGTGGTTGGAGCATTGGCCTGTGGACCACAGAATCTGGGGTTTGGTTCCCCAAAGAGGCACATACCAAAAAAAAGAAAAAAAAACTCAATGGCACATCATAGCCGCCAAAAACAAAGCCACCCACATGGAAAAACCTGTTAATCAATGAGTGGCACTGCAGATCACTGCAAAGGTAGGGAGAATTCGATAAGCAGTGCAGGTGCAATAGCTAAGACCTACAGACAGAGTAAAATGGGGTCTGAATTGTGCAGCAATTACTGTGCCTATCCTAAGCCAACACCACGATCAAAATAAAGTCAGCACATCAGGGAACCAGGAACCAACTGCAGGATTCTCCCAATCAAGGGTCAAGCCAGCACTGACCTAGTTTGACTTGTTTCCATGAAAAACCTAGTCTTCAGAAAACTTGCCTCAGAACACCTGCCTCAGAAGAACCACCACACACACACAGACATACAAACTCAAACACACACACGAGGATTCAAATGCTGTTGGGACCTGACTCTAAGGTGGCTCTAGCAGAGACGACTATGGGAACAAGCCACGGTGGTCGCTCACCTGTGGCCTGGCCCTGCAGAGGGCTACAGAACGTGCTGGGGTTTAGTTATGGCAATGGCAACCGTTTCTCTCTGTGCCCGTCAAGAGTCACGCGCCTCACCCGTCAGTGGCCTGTGGCACTTGAGGGGGGGTTCCCCCCGCCCTCGTTCTTTTAGTTATCATATTACTCTTGGCCGGTGGCATGTCTGACAACACGGCAAACAACCAATCAACGATTTTGGGAGCCCACTTAAGAGCCAGCCGATCCGTGTCCTCGCCGTTGGTGTTGGCAGATCAGGGATCTCTGGGGACAGGAGGGGCCCGAGGCCCACTCAGCTATCGGGGATGGTTGTGGTTGGACTTCTCGTATGGGACGACGTGTACTGTATCGGGCACCTACTCCACGTCGGCACTTCTGGAGACGTTGAGCACAAGGGAGGGCACGAAGCAGATACAATCCCTGGGCCGCGGCTCTACTCGGTGAATCAGACACTCACAGCGGACATCATTCGCAGGTCCTGCCCACCGACCATCAGGTCTGACGCCATCACGGTCTTCTCCACATCTGGGGGCACACCTCCTTACAGTGACCAGGGTGACACACCACAGGACCAAGTAAGAAAGTGAGTGGTCTCTGCGCCCCGATGGAGGGTCTCCAGGGTCTACGGGACGGACGCTGAGGGTGGGGAGGGCCTGGCAGAACCATCTCTTCCACACCTCCTCGTTCCCAAGGGAGGCCTCAGCTCCGGTGGCTTCTATTCCAGGAGGACAGGAGTCCAAGAGGACTGTGGACGGGGGCCCTGGGCTCAGAGTTCTGAAGGGGAGGGTGGGCTGAGGTGTTCCCCAGCGTCCCAAACCCACCGCAGTCCCATCCCGCTCTGCCTGTCCCTCTCCGCAATCCTCTCTCCTGACAGCCACCACCAGGACAGGCACGGGACAGGACACGTGGTGAGCAGCCTGCTCACAAATACGTCTCAGTCCCCAGTGCAGAGCCCCCCCGCCCCCCCCCCTCCGCCCCGGGTGAATGGAGGGCTGGCCTGGGCAGTGCACAGGACCCTCAGGACAAATGTCAGAGGCAAGAAAAGACTCACACAGACTCCGTGTGAGAGCTCCTAAGTCACCAGGCCTGCTACTCTCAGGACAGCCACACAGGGGCCGGGGTTGGCACAGGGCTGCCCCCGGATGGGCCGGGGCAGGCCCCGAGGTCCGCTCCCAAGCAAGCGTGCCACGGGAGGGCAGCGTGCAGGCAAAGAGCAGGAGTCTGACTCTGCTGCCTCACCGCCTCTCCCCAGGGCCATCGCTTCTACGGCGGGAACCTGGCCGGACCAGGTGCAGGGTTTCGGCCAGGCTTTCCGCTTCCCCTGGTTCCAGCTGAAGCAGGCCTCAGTGCAGGTCCACTTCCCAGCCTCGCACCACGTGGGCCACGCCCACCTTGTCTGGATTGACCTCGAGCTTCCAGAGCCCACAGCAGTCATGCCGGAAGGTCGGGGGACCGCATTCTGGGAAGATGATCTGGGGAGGGGAGGTTCGCGGGCTGGAGTTCCCTTCAGGGTAGGGGCATCTTCCCCACGTTGGAAAGGCACGGGCAAACCGGGCCTAGCTGTGACTCTGTCTCCTTCTCCTGCTCCAGATCCACCTCCAGAGCTCCAGAGCCCTCCAGAGCCACAGGAAGGGCCTGCTCAGAGGCGAGCGCCTGGTCCAGCCAGACGCCCCGGCCTGGCCTGGCGCGGCCTGGCGCACAGCAGCACCTGAAGCCAGTGTGGGAGCGTCTTTCGGACTCTTGATTTCTTTCTGCCTAAAAAGTTCTAATTCGTTACGCTAAGTAAATAGATAAATAATAGGACTAGACCCCAACAATATATTTATAGTAGCAAAAACCAGTAGTTTCCATTAAATGAACTCTATGCCATTGAACAAAATACTCTGCAATGAACGGAAATAAAGTTGTTGATTCAAAACGGGTAGAGATTCCCTGCCCCTATACAAATACGTAATATACGTGATATATCTGTGTGTTTATTACGTGTGCCCACTACAAACATGGAAGGTGGCTCAGGACACGCTTTTTCAATCTCTTCGATAAACGGGTTTCAAGTCTTCCTCGTAACTCAACAGATAAAAACGGATGAAACGGAGAAAGAACCTTTGGAGATGCACACACCTATATGTTAACACTTGTGGGCTCCAGCAAGTGGGGCTACAGGTAGTGACCATCTCTCCTCCTTAGCTTAGTCTATTTTCTGGTGTTTGCACAAGGATCCTATATTAATCATGAGACCGTTTCCAGTCGGAATGTTGATACAGGTTACACTTTAAGAGTCTTTAAAGCTCAATCATCTCACCACTATCAAGACAATCTCTCTGAACTTCCCCAAGCACCAATTTATATCATGAAAACAGTCTCATTAAGAGCGAAAAGAGCCCTGGCCGGTGTGGCTCGGCGGTTAGAGCATCGGCCCGGAGACCACAGAGTCTTGGGTTCGATTCTGGCCAGGGGGGCGGACCTAGGTTTCAGCTCAGTCCCTGGCCCTTGTCGGGGTCGTGCTGCAGGCAACCAATCGACGTGTTTCTCACCCATGGACGTTTCTGTATCCGTAGCTGTATCTCTCTCTCTCCCCCACCCCGCCACCCTATCTGAAGATGAACGGAAAAATATCCTCGGGGGAGGATTTAAAAGAAAAAGCAAAAACAACTTCATGGGCTACATTCTGCTTCCCTGAGTGTTCAGTGTGGGTTTACATCTGCGCAGCAAGAACTGCTAGAAGATCTCGTATTTCAAACCACTGAGGACAGGAAGAGCGGTCCCTTTGCTTGTAGCGGGAATCGTTCACAACAACTCCTCCCCTAAACACTTACTTCATCATTTTCTTCCTCCACCTTCAGCCCAGAGCTGAGCACACTGGTCCAATTCGACCTGAGAAGAGGCAATGGTGGCCCCGGGACAGGGTGGTATGGAACAAGGGGAGCATTCCCAGGCCAGGGGAAGGGCCAAGCTCACTGACACCACTGAAACTGAAACAATCTATGAGTAAAATTCAAACCAACATGGCAAAAGTGTATACAAAACGGGGGGAAAAAATCCAAAGACAAACCTAAATCAATCAGGTAGGCAAGTGTTTGAAAGGAAGGCCAGCTGCGGCAGATGCAGTCACATCAGGGGAATCATTAACACCTGTGGCGGAATCACCCAAAGGCAGCCATTCTCCTGGGAACACTGGCACTCTGAGGGGAGACCCATCCCTATCTTCCCATTAATATGGCTTTGAATGCACAACAGGTGGTCTGGAAACCAAGCCAACTCTCTCAGGTATCAAGAAAGAGACATCTTAGAGCTAGAATCTAAGGGAATTTTATATTTTACTTAATTGTAGTGCATGTGAAATTAATTTTTTAAAGTTTTATATGGCCGGTCATGACCCTGTTGGAAGAGGCGTTTAGAACAGAGTAGTCGCGAATAATTTGAAACAGTCATCCCAGCATTTCAGGACACAGTCCCTCCGCAAGCCCACACAGCAGAAATGTACACGACCACCGTATCCACAGGGGACCCTTTCCCAGCTCCCATCCTGACCTTTTCCTGAGCAGACAGCCTCCTTCAGTAGCAGGTGGATACTACACTGTCCCATGTCCCTTGCAGTTGAGACAGTTCTGGCCAAAGGCTCGTGGAAGAGTCTCCTATATGACTCTCAGGACAATATTGTCCTCCCTGAGAAAAAGAATAAGAATGAAGGGAAGATGGTTTTCCTTTCTTTGCTGCTTGACGCTGTTACTACTTTGTTGTTGCTGGAAACCTAATGTGACCATGAGGGAACAGTGAAGAGAACTAGCAGCTGAATTCAATCCTGCATCCACCTCCTTGTGGATTTATTGTTAGACAATCAAATCCCTATTTAAAACAAGTTCAGCACTATTCTCTGGCTTACAATCCTCAGCATCCACACGGAATGAGATCCGTCCAACTCCTGATGGTGGGCCAGGTTGTACCACTTCATGGTACTGCAAGAAATGTGTAAGTGTGGGAGCAGCGAGAAGGACAGAAGAAAGATGGGAGACACTTCGAAAAAGGATCAACAGTCTTTCAACTACATCAGAGGACAATTTGGGACACAAGGCATGACACAGCTCTAAGCTGGGGTGGCAGAGTGTGATGCCAACGAGGGTCTCAAAGTGTGACCCAGGGAATGGGGAATGAAAGAGGGGCAAGACTCAAAAAATAAGCAAAGGTCAGACCCTCGAGGGCCTAGAAGGATATTTGGACATTTCTAAAGGCCACAGGAAACCGTTGTCAGTTTTAAATAAAAACAAGGTCATACTGACATTTTAAAAAGATCATTCTAGCTGCAGGTAGGGTAGGGAATGGTTCGGTATGGGGCAACACTAGAGGTCGACAACCAGACAGAACACATCCTCTCAAGAGGCCACGATGTCAATGTGGCTCAGCATTCTCAGTGTTCACTGACATGGGGGAAGGAGTGAAATGCAGTCCGAACCTCCCAACAATTCCTGAGCCTGTGCTACGCACAGAGACTTCCTCTTCAGAATACAGTCAGCATATGCCTGAACAAGCCACCACCTGCCAGCACCACACATTCACTCCAGGGTCAATCCTTTATTGACACTGACTTGTTGTCTGTGATTTCCTGAGAAGTCCGCAGGCTTCAAAGAGCCTGCCTCAGGGGCTGACCCCCAAAGGTGAACAGAGAGACCCAGGAAGCCCTCTCTCAGGGAAGAACACGAACACTCAGTGACCTCAGAGAAGCACCCCTCTTTCCAGACCCTCAGTGCTGCAGACAAACCCGGCACATGTGAAACCTGTGTCCCTCTGTCCCCCCCCTTCAATCTCCCCCCACCCACATTACCACACAGAACATCCAGCAGACAGCTCAGGAACATACCTATTCACTGCACAGTACGGACAACTGTAGAACTACTTCCAATTCCCAGCACTTGGTCACCCTGCCAGAGAAAGGGAGGAGGAAGTAAAACAAAACTTATTAATACTTTCTTTTATTTCCTCTCAGCCCCATTCCTAGAGCTGTAAAATTATTAGAAATACTAGTTCACCAACCAGGGTGCAAAGGTAGGCACTGTGCCTATTTTACAGAAACCTAACTCCTGAACCCTAAGCCGTTGTATTACGGTACCCAGCTGTAATTATCACCAGAATTCTCCTCCTTTAATCTGACGCCACCATTCATCCAACTGAAAGATAAACTAAGTTAAGAAATGCTGAGTTTACTGGAACAAAAACTGATTCAATTTGGGCAACATCTAATCTAGCAGATAGAAACAAACTCCAAAGAACAGTACAAAATTAAACACTTTCATAGACTTTATTTCACGGGATGGCAGGATCCACAAGGCTGGTTTAAGATCCCATTTTCAGGAAAGCCAAGACTGTAATTGAGTCTCAATTTGGTGACATTGGGCTTAGCAAAAGTGACTCCATTTTGGACCTGCTGTATATTTAACATCTCCACATCCTCTCAAACAAAAGGCTTGGCTCCCCTACAAAGTACAGTAACATAAGTTGGCCTGCCAATTTGCACTGAATAATCCCTGACCTGCCCCTGGGCCGAGATCAGAAAGGAAGAGCTCAGGGAAAAGAACAGAGCCTAGGTGCACCCGAAGAGCAGAACGCAGAGGTGTCTGGCTTCAGTGCCTTTTCCGAAATGCTTAATACCTAGAAGGCAGGGGACTGACCACAGATACCTTCGCTTTGGTGGCATCACAGGGAACCTGCAGTACATATCCAGCCCACCATCTAAACTCCCCGAGTCAACTGAAGAGGGGAATGTCTGAAGTAACCACAAAATAGCAAATTATATCAGTTTCTGTCCACTTGATGCCAAGGGCTCCATATTTTGCATGAGCCTGCCTCAGAGAATCTGCAGAGAGGGCAAAGGCTCAATTAGGAACATGAGAAGGCGTCTTCATCGGCGACAGGAAAGACTTGTAAATACAAGAATGCTTTCTGAGTGCAATGGACAAGATACAGGCATCACACTGCTCAGGCCTGCCACCTTACCAAAGGGGGGAGATACCTATGAATAGACCAGGGACAGAGCACGTGCCCAGCTGAGGTCAGATAAACCACAAACAGCACAAGAAGGTCAGAGGTCAAACACTCGGGATCTAATGTGGAGCTCAGTTCCTAAGCAACTTCCAGGGAACAATCTCTTGCCAGTCTAAGGCAAAACAGCTAAAAACCAAACCAGCAGCTACCATTGGTTAAGCGTCTTCCAAGATTTATAAATGTTATTGTAAGTCATATTTCACAATACCCCCTTGTGATCTCAAGACCCATTATCCCCACTTTAGAGATGAATTGAACACTCTAAGAAAAACTTAGAACTTAGAAATGAGCAAAAGAGGCTACTACATGTCCATTCATGCTGGAGCCTGTAGGTACCATGTTTTGTTGGTTTTATTTTTATCCTCACCCGAGGACATTTTTCAATTTTTGTTGTTGTTGTTGTTTAGATAGAGTGGGAGGGAGAAAAAGAAAGAGAGAGAAACATCGACATGAAAGGGACACATCGAGTGGCTGCCACCTGCACGACCCAACCAGGGACGGGGACAAACTGCAACCGAGGTACATGCCCTTAGCAGGAACCGAACCCGGGTCTCTCTGGACCACAGGCCAACGCTGTAACCATTGAGCCAAACGGGCTAGGGCTGTAGGTACTATGTTATCCGACCTACAAGGGTGTGTGCCTTTGCCTTTCAGACAGCAGAGGGACCTGGGCCCAGGACCCCTAGGGCGCCAGATTGTCTAAAGAAACGCTGGACCCCAAAATGTCACCACCTCTCCACTCCCTCCTCAAACATACAGAGGAAACTGATTTGTCTCTATTCTAACTGCCCGCTTAACTGCTGACTGGTATGCAGTTGATCAAAGTGTGACTGCTATTAGACCTTCCCTTGGTGGTATGAGCAGTTGGCCACCTTCCCCCACAGCTCAGGAGCCAATGTACTTATTTGCAACGAAGCTGGAAAAGGAAGTCACCCAGGCCTGGAATAGAAGCTGCTGCAAGTCTGCATTTTTCAAAAAAACCCACCTTTTCTAAAAAAGGCCCCCTTTTCAGGCAAGCCCGCTGTGCCCCCAGCCAGCTCAGAGAAATATCCTTTCCTCTGTGCTGCCGCCTCTGTGCTTGAGCATGAGCTTAATAAAATCTGTCTGGAAATTTCTATGGGGTTCCCTCTAGATTTCTATCTTGGGGAACCCAAGAAGCTCAATGGCAGTAACACCTTGACTAGGCCATTTTACAACACAGTAGAGACAGACTTTAACATGTAGAAATTCGTTAACCATACAAATAATTCTTGTCCAGAGAAATGCAAATTAGTTGGGGTTTGTGAGAGACATTAGATTATTATCCTAGAGACATATCTGTAAATTTTACGACTTCTGACTGTGTACAAACTTATGGTTCTTTGGTATTTCCTCTGAACAGGTTATAACATCTTTTCCCGTTCCCTCTTTGGTATAGGTTTATATATGTATAAGAATCAAGATTTTATATCAGAACATATAAAGCTCTTCAACTAATGAGAAAATAAATACATTGATTTATTAATGCCCAGGTAGACCCAAATGCACCTAAAGAGAGCTCTAGCTACATAGAAATTCAACTGCCCGACACCTCAGTGCAATGCTCGGCCATTCATTCAAGTCACCCAGCAGGCAGGTGGCAATTGATGAACTCAGGTGAGTCAAATAGGCTCCATGTGAAACTCCTCCCTCAGCTTTTGGATGAGCCAGAAATAGAAGGAGCCCCCAGACCCAAAGCTCTTCAACCATGTGATGTGGTCCTGAAATTAGATGACCGGCCCAGGAATTAGTGTCTAAGCCAAAGCCAAAGAGAGGTGGGAAAGGCTGACCACAAGGTGGCTCAACAGTGAAAGGCAGCCAAGCAGGCTTTGCTGGAAGAGTAGGCCCCTTCTAACGGGCAATACTGAACCACGCCATGAGTGCAACGTCAGAACTTCACTCACCTTGTCCAGTGGGGTAACCTTAGAAGTAGTCCTTCTAACCAACGGGAACACTGCCCCACAACTTCAAGCTAAGCCAGTCAGAAACAACCACAACAAAAACCAGACTCCAAAGAGAACACAGGGGACTATGGGCCTTCAGATGAGCAGAGTCATTAATGGATGGATACCCATACTCCCAGAAACAGGCAGATCTGAGTTCAGGGTGGCTACCCAAAAGGATTCGGTTGAGAACTCTCCAAGGTCTTTATCCACCCACACGTGGAGGTGGTTACCACACTGGAACACCAACGGACTAGGGAACTGGACCTGCACCCAGAGATTCAACCCACCAATAATCCCACAACCTCCAGATTATTTCCACACTTCACACAATTCATTGAACATTTACTAGGAAGGAAGACCCGGCGATACCGACGCTGCATGAAGATAGGGCTAACTACTCTCCAGGAGCTTACCCTTTATGGGTCTGGGAGAGACAAACACAGATGACTAGAACACAAGACACCTGCATAAGGTGCCTAAGAGGTGTAAAGTGATACAAATCAAAGAGAATTCACCCTCCCCTTATGAGGCTAAGGAATAACAGAAAGGAAGTAATGGTCTTTGGAGTAAATCCGAAGGACACACATGACATTAACATGAAGGCAGAGGACAGGAAAGAGCACTCGAGGTCGAGGGTAATGATGTTAAAACACACACTATCTGCCAGTCGTCTCACTTGCCCAATGCTCTGGTACAGGGGCAGAAGGAAGCACACAAGGAAGCGAGATGGTGGAAGTGAGGACAAGAACCATCCTTGGCTGTGATCTTCCCCACCTGGCTCAGCACCTTGCGTACAGTAGATGCTGCACACGTGTCATGTGCTGGTCAGGATGAAGCCCCATGAGGGCCACTGTCCCAGGAGCAGACGAGAGCTTCAGAAGACAATAATGCGCCACTTGGGAGGTGGACTGAGAAGACAAGGTAATGGCAACTGCTATCATCTGGCCCTAGGGAGAGCCTAAACGGGTCAAGCTGGCAAGTTAAAGGGAAGGGTCAGCTCTAAAAACATTCCAAATGTGAAACCAACAGGACTTAGCATATAACATATCCCGATAAGCTTACACAGTGAATAAAGAAAACCAAGTCACAAAGTGGTAGTGGAAAACATGGCCCCAAAATAGCCACAGCAATCTTGAAAACGAAGAACAAAGTTGGAGGGAATCACAATTCTGGATATCAGGTTATACAACAAAGCCATCAAAATCAAAAAGCCTGGCACTGGCATAAAAACAGGCATATAGATCAATGCGACAAACAGAGAACCCAGAAATTGACCCAAAACATTATACTCAATTAATATTTGACACAGGAGACAAGAGCATACAGTGGAGTAAAGACAGTCTAGTCTATATAATAAAAGGTGTTGGGAAAAATTGGACAGGTACATCCAAAAACATGAAACTATACCATCATCTTATGCCATACACAAAAATAAACTCAAAATGGATTAAAGACTTAAATATAACTTGCAAAACCATAAAAATTTTGCAAGAAAACGTAGGCAGCAAAATCTCAGACATCAGACATAGCACAATTTTCACCGATAAAATGCTTAGGGCAGCCCTGACCAGTTTGGCTCAGCAGCTACAACATCGGCCTGTGGACCTCAGAGTCCTGGGTTAGGTTCCTGCTAAGGGCGCGTACCTCGGTTGCAGTTTGTCCCCGGCCTGGGTTGGGTCATGTGGGTGGCAGCTGGTCGATGTCTCTCTCTCACGTGGATGTTTCTCTCTCTCTCTCTCTCTCTCTTCCTCCCTCTCTCCCAGCCACGCTATCTGAAGATAAATGCAAAAATGTCCTCAGGTGAGGATAAAAAAAAAATTTTTTTTTAATGCCTACGGCAAGGGAAACAAAGGAAAAAATTAATAAATGAGACTACAGCAAACTAAAAAGCTTCTGCATAGTAAAAGAAACCAGTATCAAAATGGAAAGGGAACCCACTGTATTGAGACCATATCTGCTAATGATACATTGGATAAGGGGTAATTTCCAAAATATATAGAGTACTCATACAAAAGAAAGACAAACACCCTAATTAGAAAATGGGTGGAGGACCTGAATAGACACCTCTCCAAACAGGACATACAAATGGCCAGGAGACATATGAAAAACTGCTCAACATCACTAATCATCAGAGAGATGCAAATTAAAATGACTATGAGGTATCACCTCACACCTGCCGGAATGGCCGCCATCAACAAATCATCAAACAACAAGTGCTTGTGAGGATGTGGAAAAAAGGGGACTCTAGTACCCTGCTGGTGGGAATGCAGACTGGTATAAGCAGCTATGGAAAACAATATGGTGTTTCCTCAAAAAATTAAAAATTGAACTGCCATTCAACCCAGTGATCCTACTTCTAGGAATACATCCTAAGAAGCCTGATACATCAATCAAAAAGAATATATGCGCCCCTCTGTTCACAGCATGTGCTATTTACACTAGCTGAGATCTGAAAACAGCTCACGTGTCCATCAGTAGATGAGTGGATGAAAAAGCTGTGCTACATTTACACAATGGAATACTATGCAGCTGTAAGGAAGAAAGATCTCTTACCCTTTGAGATCACACGGAGGGATCTGGAGAGTATTATACTGAGCGAACTAAGTCAATCAGAGAAAGACAAGTACCACATGATCTCACTTACTTATGGAATAAAATGAACAAAATAATCTGATTAACAAGAAAAACCCCAGAGACATGGAAGTTGGGAACAGAATGACAAACCTCAGAGGAAGGGGGATAGGGGCAAGAAGAAATAAACCAAAGAACTTACATGTAAATATGCATAACCAATAGGCACAGACAACAGTGTGGTGAAAGGGGGGGGGGGGGGGGCGGGAGGAGGGTGTCAATGGGTGAAAAGGGAGGGACATCTGTATTAAATAAATAAATAAAATTTTAAAGTAAAAATAAAAACACAAGAAAACATGGCCTCAGATGGAGCAAAGGAGAGGGCAATTAACTACATGACAATTAAACACATGAATATGCTCAATAATGTGTGAATATGAATCAGCTATTCACACTTGCAAAGTATCCAGGACCAGACTCTCCTACTTCCCCTTCCAGCCACATTTCTGGGGACCACACCAACAGTTGGACACTGCTGGACACTAAATAAATACCTGGCAAACAAATGGGATGAATAAATCAATGGTAAAAGAGCAGAAAATACAAAATTCAAGGAGTATGGGCAACTCAGGAAACAATGTTTGTTGGTAGGGAAAGTGGGTGCCACTGAGATTGGGTGAGCTGCCCCCAAATGCCTAAGGGAGGTCTCCCCAGGACCACCTGGTATTATGTAGCTCGAATCCACTGTTCTGGGGATTCAGCCTGAGGTGAGGGGGCCTCAAGATTTTTATTTAAGCAAATACATAATTATAAAACAAAGGTAAGGACATGCGCCACCAAAATTAATGTAAACAGCTTCATAGGAAAACTGAGATTTGGGGCTTTTCTAATAGTATGCATTTCATTTGCCTGTCCATTAGCTATTCACTTTCTCCAGGCATTTTGAAATCTCAGCTTATTGTCCCAATTTTGCAACTGAGGCACTGAATGAACCCTGAAAGCAGAGCCAGCTCACGCCTTTTCCATTGACTGAATTCCCAGATCTCTCTGCAGCCCAGGACGCGTCAGCTTCCATTGGCCCGCAAGCAAACCAGGGGGCGAGTCTCTTCCAGCCCCACGCAACCTCAGACACCACCTGGCTGCACTTGACAACACTGTTGTCAGGGCGGACGAGGAGTCTGGAGAAGGCTCGCCCCCGACGGATCCCACGCAAAACGGCCTTTAAGGGGCAGGGGAGTGACGCGGGGGAAACGCGCAGCCCGTCCCCCTCACGAAGCCCACGTCCTCAGGAACGAGGGCGCCCTGGCTGAGGGCAACAGGGGCCCATCGCCCCAGCCCGGAGCTGCTCACCCTCACGTGATTCTCCACCGCCGCGTGGCTGCCACCCTCTCGGGCTGCTCGGCCTCGGACATCGTGGAGGGGCCGGGAAGACGCGGTTGGCTCCCGCCGCTGGTCCTTGTTCGGCGCGCGCCGCGGGTCCCGGACTGCGCGCACCCAGAGGCTGCAGGGGGCGGCCCCAGTCGCCAAAGCTGTTCCCGCCTCAGGCGGAGGCCGCGCCCAGATCGCCGGGGCAGTGGTTCCAGGACCCGCCCGCACAGGGTGCTCAGGGCAGCGGGAGGCGCATCCTGATCCCTGGATCTGGCGTCCGCCAACGGTCGCCCGGGGTTCTTCGGGAGGTCTGGTCCGCCCGCCGAGGGCTCACGCCGACGCGGGTCGTCCTGGGAAATGTAGTTCTCTGGATTCCGTAGCCTGACGCCAGCGCCCAGCGTGGACTACCAGCCCCACAATGCTCAGCGACGGGCGCGGAGATCGCCGGCGACCGGCTTTGGCGACTCGGCTGGTTGTGCATTTGGGGCAATCTTGCGGGTTCTTCTGTCCTCCCGTGCTTCGGAGGAGGGCGTGTTAGACTTGAGCCGGTGACTTTTCCCAGCAGTACGAATGTGGCAGCGGACGAGACCTCATGGCAGGGCAGTCGCTGTTCTGGAGACGTCGTTGGGGCGTGACTTCTCTAGACTCAGCCCAAGAGAAAGGCACCTGGGACCTCCGACCTAGATCTCGGAAGGCCCAGGACTGCGTGTTTAGAACCCCTGCCCTGGACGTTGTCCTGACCCATCACTAAGGCCTGAAGCCACAACAGCGACCCTCCTGCTCTGCAGGCCGCAGACGGGCCCCCTGCGCGGCACTTCTCAGCGGAGCTCTGCGGGGTCCCGACAGCACCGGCCCCGTGGCCGATCCTCTGGTCACCACACTCAGAGCTCTCTGAGGAGGGCAGGGACAGAAGACATGACACTTTTTGTTTTGGAGTTTTTCTTTGTTTTTTTTTTTGTTGTTTTTTTGTGGGTTTTTTTGTGTTTGTTTGTTTGTTTGTTTGTTTGTTTAGGGAGAACTGCCCTTTTCTAGGGTTGGCCATCGCAGCCAGCTCGCGGTGGAGGGGGAAGCTGGAGGAAGTAGTTCCGAGGACTCAGAGGGTGGCATCAGGAGAGTTGAGGAAAGAGAAGGCAGGCAAAGCAAGTGCAGAGCTGCATAGCAGGAGAAGGGAGTCTGGAGCAAAGGAAGGTCTGAGAGAGCTTCCTGGACTGCAGTTGCTGAAGACTTTTAAAAGAGTGTCCTCAAACAATAAAACATGGGGCTGTCTGCTATTTACCATCAGCTCTGTATCCCGAACTTTCTCGAGGACTTCTGGACATAAATGCCCTGCGTGAGACGAGCTAGGGACATCAGGGAAAGGAGCTGTGTGCCAAGGCAGGTCCTGCCCTGGGAGGGGAGGAAGGAGAGGCTGCCCCTGCAGGTGAGGCTGAAGGAGGGGTCTCAACAGAGCAGACACCTGGGGCAGCAGGGCTCCTGCACACACACCCTCCAGAGACTCAGGGCAGAAATAATCTGATTTTCCCTTTGCAGGGCTTGAGCCACATTTTATTTACATGTCAAAGGACAGTGTGACTCTAATTTGATACTTGAATACATTTTCAGGTGTATTCAGAGTAAGAGGAGTTTCGATTCAGTAGAAATTATAGAACTTCCCTTTTACATTTAAATAATATTCCTCTACTCCACATCCTACAATCCTTACAAGAAGCCAGTCAATGTGAGCGCTTTAGTCTTCATTCTGAGCTTCAGGTCCCTACTGGGGTTTATAAGTGTTTACTACACGTTTACATTGTGCTTATACTTACAAGAAAATAAATATCACTGTTCACAGTGATCTAACATAATTAAGGATAAGGGATAAAACAGGCAAGATTTGGTGACAACTATTTAGGTGTCAAGTGCTAATTTGTGGGGTGGGGGATGCTAAGCAGGACATGATTTTAAGAAACTCTAGTAAGGTCACCCTCTTACTAAAGGGGGCATTGGGAAGTTCAGTGAGGAAGTGGGACCTGGGAAAGAAGTTCGGGATCAAGTGTGAGTGGAGAGGCCCTGCAGCCAGGGCTTCTCAACCTCAGACCTTTGGGGCCAGAAAATTCTTTGATATGAGGGTTGTCCTGTCATTCACTGGGTGTGAAGCAGCACCCTGGCCTCCCCCACTAGATGACAACCAAAAACCTTTGTGATATTTCTACACACCCCTCGAAGGCACAGTTGTTCCCAGATGAGAACCTTGTGCCAAGTTTAGGGAACAGCATGCGTATTGAAGGGAGGAAGAAAGTTGACCACAGAGGTGAATCCGTGTGCAGCCCTCCCCACAGGCCGCTGGCTTACCAATGCACAATGTGCCCGCAGCATGATTTATTGTTTGCTGTTGATGAAAATCTAACTGATTTTCCCTGTGGCGTTGAATCCACAGTACCCATGTTTGTACGTTTTTGCAAGGTCCTGTGAGTACATCCATATAAAAAATTCCCTAAAGCGGATAGCTGAGTAAAACTATATACATATTCTGCGCTTTGATAAAATATTCCTAATTTCACTCCAGAGTGTGGTACAAATTTTCACTCATAAATAGCTATGAGAACCACTGATTCTTAGAACTTAGTGTTCATGAGATTCACTGGGGGCTTGTTATAAAGGCCACTGGCTTGGCTCCTCTTGCCCAGAGATTTTTATTATTAGGTCTGAGGTGGGGTCTGTATACGTTTTTTGTTTTTCAATTTTCACCCAGTAACTTGACTTCGAAGAGGGAGAGGGTACAGTTCAGTGAATTTTACTACATAGGTAGTGGGTTTGCGTAACCACCACCATCAGTACACAGAAGAGTTTCATATCTGAGTAAGTTCCCTCTTGCCGTCGAGTTATACTCCCACCCTACTCACACCTCAAATCTCTGTGCACACCAGCCTCTTTGTCCCTCTCAACTTTTCCTATGAGTTTGGATTATACAGCAGGTGATGTTCTGAGAATGGCTTCCTTCATTTAGATTAATACCACTGAGTCATCCAGTTGTTTCCTGTGTCAGTAGTTCATTCCTTTTCACTGCTGAGACATGCCAGTTTGTCAGTTCAACCACTGAAGGACATGTAGGTTGTTTGCAAGTTCTGGTGATCGCCTTTTAAATAAACCCACCAAAACATTCTGATGCAAATGATCCTCAGATCATGCTTAGAGAAACAATGCCCTACATGCCCCATAAAAGTGTGCATTAGGATTGTTTTTGCACTGAGTTTGTCCTGGTTTACTAGCCTGTCTCACTTACTCCGTGGCTCTGGAGATCATCCAGGACACCTCTTCCTGGTGGCTTGGACCCTACCGCCAGGGAGGGTGGGAGCTGAGTGGTACAGACCAAGCCACCAATGGCAGGGCTGCACTCTCTGGCTCCTTGGACTTCCAGAGGCTTCCTGCCTTTGGGAGCAGGGTCTTTGTATTTGCTCAGTGACCATGCAGTCAGAGCCTTGTTGCAAGAAGGGTCCTGGGCTTAGAATAAGCTGAAGAAACAATCTTCAGTACCTGTGGGTCAGTAGGTCACCCTCTCCTGTACTGGAAAGAGCAACAACTTTGGAACATATCATGTGACCTGTTACCAAGAGATTTTTAATGGTGCCCGCCAAACTATGATCATTAGAAGTTCTCACCCTTCAGGGATCTCAGGTTGGTTCTCTGACTCCAAGTCCAGAAAAATGGCCTATCTGAACACTGCAGGCCTTTGCCTGGAGGATGAGGCTGACTACTACTGTTCCGATGGAGACGAATCCTTAACGCTAAGTGTCTCAGACATGTGGAGAACTGACACAAAATCCTGCCCGTTCCCTGGGATAACCTCCATAACTGCCTGTGATGACCAGCAATGGAAGAGATGACTGGGAAACCATTAGAGTGTCAGTGTCTGACTTGTTAAGTACAGACGTAATTTACAGGGTGAGTGGCAGTCACTGCCCCTCACCTTGTCTCTATACTAGTACAGTCACTGCCCCTCACCTTGTCTCTATACTAGATTTATAGACATATAATTCTCATTCTTTAGAGTTCATCCACACAAGTGGTATAATACTATTATATTTACTATTTACAGAGTAATGCATTTATCACCAAACTCTAATTTTAGAACATTCCAGTTTCTCCACAAAGAAAATCCACCTATTTGTGATCATTCTTCATCAGATTTCTACTTAATCCTAAATAATTGCTGACCACTTTCTGTCTTTGTGAATTTGCCTAGTCTCGACATTTAATATAGATAAAACAAGAAAATAGTTAACAATGAAAACATTCCTGTTAATTTTGCTGATCTGATAAGTGGAAATACTGTCCTGTTATTAGATTTGCATACTCTTGACCCTCAGGGAGTTGAGAATCTTTTAAAGTTTTCATTAGCCATTTATAGCTCTTCTGTGAATTGCTTACTCAGATTCTTTGTCATTTTTAAAAATTGAGTTGCTTTTGTTTTTCACATAGACTTTATGAGCTTTTTATGTTGAAATTTTTTTTTTTAAAAACTTGTTTTTATTGCCTGACCAGTGTGGCTTCCTGGTTGAGCACGGTTCGATACCCATGCACCAAGAGGTCGCCAGTTCTGTTCCCGGTCAGGGCATGTGCCCAGGTTGAGGCCCGATCCCCAGTGGGGGTGTGCAGGAGGCCACCAGTGTTACTGTTTCTCCCTCTCCCTTGCTCTTTCTAAAAATTAATAAAGGAAATACATTTTTCAAAAAAATTTGTATTTATTGAATTTATTGGGGTACGTTTCAAGTGTACAGCTCAATAAAACATCATCTCAGACTACATTGTGCCCTCATTACCCCAAGTTTTCCATCTGTATTTCCTTCTCACCTTTGCCCACCTCCACCTAGCCCCATCCCCCTGCCCCTTTCCTCTGGTTGTCAGCACACTTTTCTGTATGTGTGTGTGTGTGTGTGTGTGTGTGTGTGTATTCTTTTTGCTTAATCCCTTTACTGCCTCCATCCACTCCCCCAACCCAGCCTTCCCCTGTGACAGCTAACAATCTGTTCTCTGTATCTCTGAGTTCATTTCTGTTTTCTTCATCAACTTATTTTGTTTATTGGATTTCACATAAAAGTGAGATCATATGGTTTTTGTCTTTCTCTCACTCTTATTTCACTTAGCATAATGTTC